ACACTGCTAGTTAGTTTTGTGGAGGGGTAGGTGTTCTATAGGGGAAGCTCTTTACCTGCTTTACGGCTGTTAGCTGTAATGTTAGCGGGTTAGCATTTTCAGTTTAACGATTAAAAGCACAAGAAAAGGAAAAGAAGACATTTGCTTTTTCTGTTGGCATTGTGGTGGAGCCTGGAAATAAAAGTAAGAGTGTAATGTCTTTGGAGCTGAAGCAAAGAGCTAAAACCAGAGTGAACATTGGTGTGGCCTATGCTAGTGTGTGGATCAGACTGATGATGACCTGGCTTTGTTGCTACTGGACCTGTAAGTAATAATATTTTTGTCCAGAAGTGTGGATCTTTTTACGTTATGGTTTATTTTGGTATTAGTTGGCTCATGTTAGCGTTAGCTCATTGTTAGCGCTATCTACAGCATGCTATTGTTGTAGGGTTGTGGTCGTCTGTTTCACTTTAGCGCCGGATAACCGTGAGCATCTGTATTCTGCTTGTTGTTTAGTGTTTTGACTGAATGGGACATTGATCCAGGTGTGAATGTAATCAGATTACTCAGAGGACAGTGGTGCAGATGGAGTTTTGTTTGAATAGAAACCTTGAATCACCTTTAATTTCTCCCATCTGGTATATTTGACTCCCGTTTAGTTTCTGCCGTGCTTTATGTGCCTCTTTGGTTACTTCCTGTTTTATTCTGAAAAGCTTGTTTGTCATTTTTCCCTGTTTCCTGCCTCTCTGTCATTTTAAGTGTATTTTTTATTTTTGCTGTGGAGTTTGTTTTGATCTGTATTTAGCTTCAGGATTGGTTATTTTGCTTGTTTGCATCTTTTGGAGAAAAACTAAATGAAGGTTTTCTTTTTCTGCTTCCTGTTGGCAAACGAGTCTCAGGGGTGTTTTAAAAGTAAAGCTGCTGGAACATTTTAGCGACGCATCATTTCACTCAAACCATCCAGATGTCGGTGCCATCCGTGGGTCTGACAGTGTTTCCTGTGCTGAGAGGCCGTCATGTTGGGAATAAAAACGTAGTTCACGTCCCTCCAAGCTCCCGCTGCCTCGCGGACATGTCCCCGGCAAAATTTGTGATTGGCAGCTGTGTCCCCCCCACTTTCAAAAAAGCCTGCTGATGAGGATTTTTGTTTTACCAGCTCAGATCTTATACCAGGGGTCGGCAACCTGTTCCCATCAAAGAGCCATTATTACCCGTTTCCCACAGTAAAGAAAACACTGGGAGCCACAGCGGCCACAGCGTTGTGGGCGGGGCCTACCCTCAGACAGCAGAGAGCTGCTCACAACCAGGTGACAGCAGCCGGTACCGGTCGCTCGCATGGGCGTCGCACCCGTGGGGGATGGGGGGGGTGCAACACCCACACTTTTCCAGCTGTTTGCTCACCTCCACACCAGTCTGGTTTCTTTACGTCGCACTCACTCTGTTTGCCTCATCTCCTTCTTCACCTCCCGACAGCCGATGTCGGGTTTCAAGGAGAGGGAGGGACGGAAGAGCTCGACTGAATTCATAATTTTACATCTTGATATTAGCTGTACAAAGTCTGAGTTTGATCAAGTGAAGAACAACAATTTGCAGAGGTTTATAACAGGCGCGGCGCCAGGTTTTCATTTTTGGGTGGGCCACGGTAATTTTGGACGGACCTTAATAAGCAGTGACTTAAGTGAAGCAGGCAGGTCGTGCTAGAAAATTTAGTTTAAAAAGACGTCATAAATGTTTTCCCCCGTCATTTTTATTTCTAAAATATGAAGTAAAAACTCACAATTTAATTTTCTTTCATTTGTCATTAATATTTAGTCTACACCCGTGCGTTAAGTGGACCATCTTCCAGTAAAAGCAAAGCATCCAGCCCACCTCTCCAAATGCGTAAAATGTGCATCACAGCCGCTACACGAGCCGCGCGCACCGTCAGCGACGTCAGCCCAGACAAGAGCAGAGCAAATAGAGACAGAATAGAGGATAATTCTGTCTGGATGTGGATGGAGATTACATTTTACAGCAGCCTGATCATCATTTAAATACGTAAACCATCACCTGTCTTCAGGGCTGGACTGGGACAAAAATTCAGCCCGGGCATTTTGACTGGAGACCGGCCCATCACCTGGTTTTTGTGGAAAAGACATTAAGCCTTACGCTGTTTTTGACACACACCAACGTACACTTTCTTGTTGGTAATATTCATGTATCAATCTAATAAACGTAAACCTACACCATCCTTTCTATCCTGGTATTCTAAAAAGTACTTAGTAAAAAGGAAAAAAGACCACTTGATTAAAGTAACACCCCAAACAATCTCTAACACTTGGTAGAAACCTGACATTAAAACTGAGAGAACTATTAATCAATAATGAATATTAATATAAAAAAGACATTTATGGAAATTTTCATAAACTGTTTTATCACCACACCAACTAGGAAATATTTTTACAATACATTTAAAAAAGCAAGGAGACAGAGAAAGGTGAGATAAATAACTTAATTGACCATTTGAGGTCTTTTTAGAGATCGTACTGGTGCAGTATCTAGAAAATGTGGGGAAAATGCTGACATCATATACAGTATTTACTTCTGTAACTATTTGTTAATATGTTGTTAATACGAGTTGCAGTATTTATGGCTATCCTGTTAGGGTGTGTAATTGTTGGACGGAATCTTTAACAAAACACATAATTAATAAATTATTCGTGTATGATTGTGTGCATTTAGAATATCTATATTAAAGCCTCCACAAACACTAACTTATGATTATTTGTATTTAATTCTACTGTACATTTCTGAAAATTTGTTCTGATAAATAATTCATTATTAATCATTAATTATGAAATATTTTGTTTACAAATGAAATTCTTACCTTCTTAACTAAATATTTAACTTTAAGTAAATATTTATCATCCAAACTAAATATTTAACTTTTTAACTAAATACTTTGATTGCAAACTAAATATTTGCCTTCTTAAATATATATTTAGCATCCAAACGAAATATTTAACTATTTAACTAAATATTTTGTTTACAAACCAAATATGTATCTTCTTCGGGCCGTGCAGAGAACTTTGACGGGGTGGGTGCTCAAAGTTAAAAAAAGGGGGCACTTATAGAGCCCTTCGCAAAAGCTGCAACAAGACCTACAGAAAGAAAAATGTACCTTTTAGACCTGAATGAAGATGCATTATTTTATTTTCTTCTAAAATTTTCTTTATTTGAAATAATTGAGTGTTTTTACTTCAAAAATTTGTTTTTTGTGTGTGTATTTTTGTGTTGTTTTCTTTTGCTTTCAGTTTGTGAAGGACTGTTAAATTTTAAGATTAATTAAGAGACCTGGGGCCTCATTTATCACGCTTGCTTACGCACAAAACGGTGTCGGAAAACAGCATAAGCAACTTTCCACGCAAACTTTGGGATCTACGAAATAAAACTTAGTGAAAAAATGTGCACAACTTGAAGTTGACTAAAGCCTGGTTCATGCTTCTCCGTCAGCTCCGCAAGGGACAGACACGCACGGATTGACGGAAGCGTTTTGCTCTCATACTTCTCCGTCTCCTGGAGAGAGTTGCAAAGCAATTCCCCGGCAGGACAACAGAGGGCGTAGCGCTGTTCTGTGGTATCGTGTCATGTATCGGTCCAAGATAGTGTGTTTATATTATGTTTTTTTGTATATAAGATACTTTTTAACATGGACAAATTTGTCTTTCATCCTCCGCCACCTCTTCATGCGCTCGCCACCTCTAAACCCACGTTTCCTGTCATTTCCGTCCACAAATAAAACACTTGCTGTGTATCTTTTCACTCCTCCAGTCACGGGGAATTAAACGTTCGTGTTTTTAGAGTTTTTTCGTGAGGTATTCTTCAACTTGCTCCGTGTCTGCCGCTTGTTATCCCCGGCTCTCTTTATGTTTTTGAGGGCGCAATGGCGGCGGTGTAGATGACAGCGGCGTCCTGACCAATCACAAGCTTGCGTTGTCCGTCTCGACTGATGGATGTTTAGAAAAGAGAGCTTGACTTCGTCCGTCCTTGCGGGAGCTCTCCGGCAGGCCCGCAAGGGCGTTGCGTGTCTCCGCGCTGACGCAGACGTAGAAGCATGAATCAGGCTTAAGGACCTGGCTTACGCACATGTTGGACATGGAGAGCACCTGCAGTGCTGCTGCTGAGAAGGATACAATTATGAAATCCTGCAGCATTATCACTTGTACTGCTTCGTTTTCACACAGAACATGACCCCCCCCCCCCCCCCCCCCCCCCCCCCCCCACACACACACACACACACACACACAGCCTGAAGCCAGAATACAGAATACAGAATATCAGCAGGGGGACAGATTGAGACAGGCTGTGTCTCAATTCAGGGTCTGCATCCTTCGAAGGACCCAGCCCACCCGGCCGACGTGGGCTGCGTCCTCCGTCGGCCGGGTAGACCGGATGTTAACGGCTGTGAATTTGGACAGGCCTAGCCTTCATGAACTCCCTCGGCCAACGTTCCGTCGCCTAGCAACCGTGGAACCGCTGGGCAGAAGGGAGAAGGAACTTTAAACGATGGAGCTCGAAGTTTTATTTAGCTTTTTAACCCCCAGAAACCCAAATTTAGAAAACTCTAAATCTTTTTTTAACCTTTCACATGTTGTTCTAGGAGGCCAGATAAACGGGCCTATTTACACATTTTAACAGCCAATAGTGTTGCAGAACTGAACAATAGGACCTATTAGCAATGTAAATGTGGTTTTAAAAAGAAAAAAAATGGGGAAGGTTTATTTTTGTGGACTTAAATCTGATGTTGTAATATTACAACCGTGGGTCTCTGGGGGTTAATCATTTCCTTGACTGTTGGAGAGCTAATTCAGAGAAAATACTTTAGACTAGCTGAGCCTGAGCAAAGATGTGATAATAGTTTTTAATACTTTCTAAGGGTCTTACTTTGACCAAAACCGATTTATCACCTTTTAAGACTTTTCAAGACCCAGCGGATACCCTCTAGTAAACAATTCTCATTTGTAAACAAAAATAAAATTCAAGAGTTTAATGCAGAACTGATTTTATTTAGATATTTCTTTTATATGTACATGTTTAATCTTTATTAACCATTTTTTTCTAGCAAAGTAAAAAGCTGTCAAAGTTCTCCCTTCTCTCCTGTGCCCTCTGCTGCTCTGCCTCCCTCTGCAGCCTCGTGTCCTCCCTGATCAGCTCCAGAAGCTGGTCATCGCTGTCACCTTCCCCTGGATGCTCATTTTCTCCAGAATAGTCCTAACAAACATGTAAGAAAAAAAACAGATAGAGAAAAGAGGACAACGGGTTATTCCTTTCATGTTTTCGCAGAAAAAAAAATAAACTCAAATGAGTTTTTAAAATATGAGATGTTATTGTACCTCCATGCCACAGCCGCCGAATACTTTGCTCCGGTGAACATGTGGTCCATCTCCGCCCTAAGCTTAATAAATTCCCTGGTTTTCTCTTTTGTTCCTAAAATACAAACTTCTATTAAAATCAGGGGGAAACGTAGCGGGAGAAGTACAACACCGAGCGCGGCCGAACATACGAGCCGAGACCGCAATAAAAGCACTTTTACTGTAACATTTCTAACTAAAATAACGTTCATGTATCACATAAAGTCATTAACCTGACAGTTTTCAAGTTTATGCTGACATTTATATGCGCAATCCTCTCCGACAGCTCCCGCTTCACTGTCCGCCATTGTTTTTAAGTTTTTCTGCCGGCCGGCCCGCAAGGCATCTTGGGAAATGCTACCTATTGAAGGATACACCGGACCCATCCTTCATTCAGGCGAAAAGAAGGCCGGATTCGTCGACCGCATTTGAAGGAGTCTTCGGATTGGGACAGGCCTAGTCGCGGCGCTGTGACGTAACTGGCCGACGAAGGATGCAGACCCTGAATTGAGACACAGCCACAGAACGTCATGCGTCTGCGACAGTGTGTGTCCCGTCACTGTGACCCGATTGATCATGCGCCCTGGCTCGTTAAACAGGGGAGATCTCTGTTTGGGTGACTGGTTAACGCGTGTGACTTTCACCCGGGAGTCTGGGGATCGAATCCTGATTGGACCATTTTTTTTATATCCGCCACAGATCTCTCTGAAGAACTCAGCATTGACGGCTTCAGCAACGCTGTGCAACTCCGTGGGTTTTCTCTTATTTGTTTTGCAAAAGCACTTCCTGTCATTTCTCCACCTCACCCACAGGTACCTCAATTTCTGCTTGTGAAATAGCGCTTCCTTGATCTGCCTTGATCTACGGTCGCCATCGTCATTGGTGGAGCGCTGCAACAGCCGGCTTATGTATATGCATGAGATCCACAAGGCACTTTGCATTGACCATTTATGGCAGTAAGTGGGCGTGGTGAGGGCGGGATGTGACTAAAATGCAGCTGAGAAACATTCTCGTTAGTCTCCGATTTATGAAGCGGAGATTGCGTGCAGCTGTGCGTACTCCATGTCTGATAGATCACAAACCTACTTGGCATAAGTACATATTTTTTTTTGCTGAGCTTAAGTACGGTTTTAGTAAGGATTCTACGCAATGTTTGATAAATGAGACCCCTGGACATTAAAAGGAAGGATGTGTTTTCTTTATTATTCTTCCGCCAACGGCTCGAGCGGCATCAACACGAGCGACCCGGCCATGGTGAGTGTGGTATCATGATTTTGTAGGCGACGGTGGCACTGGAGTTAAGTGCTCGCCCCGTAATCGGAAGGTTGCAGGTTCGAGCCCCGCTCAGTCTGTCACTGTCGTTGTGTCCTTGGGCAAGACACTTAACCAACGTTGCCTGCTGGTGGTGGTCAGAGGGACCGGTGGCGCCAGTGCTCGGCAGCCTCGCCTCTGTCAGTGCACCCCAGGGCAGCTGTGGCTACATCGTAGCTCATCCCCATCAGTGTGTGAATGTGTGTGTGAATGGGTGATTGTGTTGTAAAGTGCCTTGGGGGGTTCCAGGACTCTAGAAGGCGCTATATCAAATACATTTACCATTTACCATTTTGGGCCTGGATGAGACTTGGCCTCTATCTTGTGCCAGCGGGCCAGCCCCTTTCAGACTTTCTTCAGGATTTTTCCAGTTATTCAAGTATTATTTAGCTCTCCTGCTGTTTTGGTACCTGCAGCAGTCGCTGGGTAATCCGAGAAACAAGGTCTGATTTCTCTTTAAGGGTTTTAGGGGAAGCTGTAGCTGCTTTTCTCAGATTAGTTATTCAGTTCAGTTTATTTATGTAGCACCGAGTTAAACAGCAGTCATCTCAAAAAGCAAACACTGCAGTTGAACCGTTCGTATTAAACCGTGTCTTGAGTTCACCTCATTATTCTAATTAGTTATAATTTTCCTATCTAAGGAAACCCAGCAGATCTCATCGAGTCACTGACTTGTGTCAGTGACTTTAGAAGAAGAAGAAGAAGAAGAAGAAGAAGAAGAACAAAATATCATTTCTATAACGCCTCTAAAGATAAGATAAGGACTAGGTGTGTTAAAATTACATTATTTATATGTAATGATGAGCTTCTCCATCATAAGATATCTGTTTCCCAGATAGGAGAGTAGCACCTGGTCCTGGTGACCCAGCCAGTTACAAAAACTAGTAGGAATCCTAACTTTTGTAAATTTGTAAATCATCCAGTGTAGGGCTGCAACAACGAATCGATAAATTCGATGAAAATCGATTACTAAAAGCGTTGGCAACGAATTGCGTCATCGATTCGTTGTGTCGCACAACTCTTCCAAAAGCCCCCCCCCCCCTTCCCGCCCGCGTTGCGCGCAGACCAGAGCAAGTCAGATCAGCGCGAGGGAGAGCCGGCAGATCAGCGCGAGGGAGAGCCGCAGATCAGCGTGAGGGAGAGCCAGTACCGGCAGATCAGCGCGAGGGAGAGCCGGCAGACTTGCGCTGCTGCGAACCGGTTCCGCATTGTCGCGCAGCGATCCAGGCAGCTGCTTCCAGCGCACGGTCCATTCTCAAAGTGGCGCAACCAAAAAACTATAATTAGCACACGATCGTTCTTGTCTGCACATGTTCTCTATTTTCTGTCTTATTTGTGCCTGAAGCGCGCTACTGCGGAGCTCATCACCTGTGCTGTGGTGATGTCACCTCACGCAGCATCGAAAACGCGCTCTGCGCTTTTCGGTCAGGAGATCCCTTTGATCTGCTCAAAAGTAACTGATGAGGTGAAAAGGTAAGAATCCAGGCAACAGATTTTCTGGAGAATTAAGAGGAGATGCAGGAAGATGAGAGACAGACGGGACAGGAAAATAGTTAAATAAAAACAAGAAAACAAAACAAAGTGTTGAAAAGTCAAATGTAGGTAGATTTATCTCCACGACACATTTTTACCAGTAAAAAACAATAAGTTATACACATGTCATAATTATACATCTGATACAATTCAGATCACCTTCAAAACTCAGTCACACACCCAGGGCCGTTTCAAGACATTTTGGGGGCCAAGGCAAAATGCCCCCCCCCCCCCCCCCCCCCACCCCACCCCATAACTGGGCTCCCCAGAAGCCTCTGTGTAATTCATGCCCTCTCCAGGAGTGTTAGTTATACGGTGTTTATAAAAGCCCCTCAGACATTACTGACATGTTCTAATATTATCAGATGAAAAACTAAATTATCAGACATGCTGTCTCATCTGCTTCTTTTAAAAACTTGCAAAAAGTAACAAAACCATTTGAAAGACACTATTTGTGGATTCTCTGAAAGTTTCCATGGAGTGTGTGACAACTTATTTTTTCATTGATCCTATCGTCTAATCTCACAGCTGAAACAAGCATCCTTAATAATCTGTGCACAGGAAGCTTACCGATGCTGTAGTAAAACAAAAGGTATAATAATTTATTATTAATAAAACCTTGTTGCAGCACTAAAGCAGAAAAATTAGATTTTGCATTAAATATGCAAAATATTTACATATGAATAGTTTTAGAGCCCTTTAATTGGCAGAATCTGATATTAATTTAGTTCTTACAAAAAATGGGTCCCAACATGGTTTGTGTGGCGTTGCCATAGTGTGACGTCATAGGCACAGATCCCCTGTCCTCTTGTTTGGAAATGGAAATATGGTCACCCTATATTAAACAAACTGTCCACCCGGGCTTTTGCGCTGCACAGAGACGCTTCGCTGCCTACGACTGAACGTCAGTTGAGAGTCAGTCTCATGCAGACTGACCAATGAAGAGAGGGCCTCAAGTTAAGACCCTCTCCTCATTGGTCAGTCCACACGAGGTGGGTCAAAGGTTACTCTGGGCGGGTTACGTGTTGTCAGGCATTCAAGTATTGAGTATATTTACTGCATATTACAGTAAAATATTCTGTATGTGACCACATTATGGTGATCCTTGGGTCGTGATGATGGAGCCCTTGAATATTGTTGCCCAGGGTACAACAAAGTGTTAATCTGGCCCTGGTTCCGCCGTCACATTCCCGCAGAAACTGGTTGATCACACCGGGGCCAGACTACTAGCATGTGGTTTTACAACCACAATGTCCTCAGAAGCAAAAATGCTTTTAAAAGGGAGGGAGGAGTCCTAACTGTTGCTGCAGGCGTGTTTTGTGAGAGTGCAGTTATATACTGGTTAATATATTTTTGGGTTCAGTTGCTTTCATGTGGCCTAATGTGAGTCTATTTGGGATCATTGGAATGATCAGCAGCATTTCTTGATGTGACTTTATGGCAGTTGCCCAGGGCATCATCACAAGGAGGATGGCATTCATTTACTTTTGTTTTATTTGGTATTTTTTCAGTCAGTTTTGGAAATAGTGATCAATTTTGATTAATTCACAGCCTATGTTTAATTACATTTAAAATAAATGTGAACAGATGAGATCAAACAAAACAGATGAGAATTGCCCTTAAGCTGTTTAACTTGGACCAAGCATTTTAGGTCACAGATAGATGTAGCTTAGGGTCTCTGTCTATACACCTTATAAGACAATTTAGGTGATGGCATGTTGTTTTTCTGCTATTGAACTGTTTTCTAATAATGTTGTGTTAAATAAAGTGAAGGAAGGAGAGAAATAACGTTTCCCTAGCAGTTTTTAAAAATTTCCCCATGTAATCCGATTAATCGATTAATTGTGTCGAGACCCCATCCGATTAATCGATTATCCAAATAATCGTTTGTTGCAGCCCTAATCCAGTGTAATCATATTACGGTATAACTCCTCCCAGGTGAATTCTGACTAAATCGACCACTTGTTCAAATCTATGAACCCTGGAGCATGGGGAAAGTAAAGGTCGGATCCCAAGCTAGCTAACTAACTTTTGTAACTACCATACTCAATTTGCCCCAACTAGTGGACGCCAGGCTAACCTGGCATAAAGAAAAGCAATCTAAATTGCTGCTTTCCCCCTCCGTTGAATATTTGTGTAACTCACTATTGACATCCACCATGGCAGACCCTATGTCAGGTGACGTGGCTGAAAAGGGTCAAAATGACTCCATCGTAATGCTGATGATATTAATGTGTAGATAAAAGACGGAAAGAGGAAAACACTGACTGCCTTTGGAGGACCACTATCCTGGTGGGTGAGCCAATCCTGGAAGTCAGAACAACAAACAGATTGAGAGCTGTTTTAGTGAAAAATGACAGTCTACAAGCAAAATCAATCAGTTCCACCCTAGAATATAGAAATATGTAAATTTTGCAGCACGGTAAACACAGAGAAATTTGAAACAACACAAACAAGCCAATTAAGGGACAAATAAGGCTAACTAGTAAACAGTAAAGCTGCAATGGCAAATTTAGAAAACAAATTAGCTTAAAACATTTTTTCATGCCTTTTAAAAATGTTCTAACACAATAAATAAATTGTGGAGATTAAAAAAATT